GAGCAGGTGTGAAGTCAGGAAACCTCACTAGGATACAGTGCATAGATGTACCACAGTCATTCACTTTGACCTTCTCCTATCACTATATGCAAGATTGAAATTCACCAAATGAGTTATGTCATTCTCCTTTCTGGATTTCTATAATACTCTATGTGTGGCACTAATCACACTATTAAAATGGGCTGCAAGTAGATTGTTAGCTCCTCATAGCAAGGTTCAAGTCTTATTTGTCTCTCCATTTTTTGTGCCGTATCCCTTAAATGCCCTTAGAACAGGCATGAATATTATGTTTGTTGAAATAGAAGGCTAAATAATTAAAAGAATCAGAAGTCACACAATGCTAACATGAAATTCATAAAATACTGAAATATGTGGATTATTTAAGAAGCAACAATTCTAATATAAATTCAGTTCCAACTGTATATACTAAGCATTCATGAAAAACATTTAAAGAATATGTTCGTGATCATCAATATTTTCTTATAAAGGCAGGAAAGAACTATGATATCTCAGAAAGAACCTATAATAGTTATTGAAATGAATCTTTAGCACCTGAAAATTAAAGTTTATTTATTCATCATAGTTTACTTCCTATAAAAATGAATAATACTTGTGTTTGAACATATGACTAAAGTAATAAAAAGCATGGATTTGGGAGGAACAGATTCTTAATTGAGTCTCACTTCTGTGTTAGTTCAATTTCCATCTCCAAAGACCTATGTAACTTTGGGGAAGTCATTTAAACTACCCACCTGCAGTAGATTTATTTGAAAAATAGGAACTTGCCTTACAGAAGTCCTATAAAATCAAATAACGTCATGAATGTTGAAATTCTTTGTGAACTTCAAAGAATTATAGAAACATTATGGCTACTAATTAAATGAAATAATGCAAATAAAATATTTATTACTGCAATGCCTATTGTCTTAGTTACTTTTCAGTCCCCGGGACAGGCACCCACAACTTAAAAGAGGAGAAGTGTATTTTTGGCTTATGCCTTCAGTCCATAGTCATCTGTTTCCAAAGAAGAAACAACATGGTGAAAAGGCCTGCAAGGACAACTGTTCATCTCATGACAGCCAGGAAGCAGAGAGACAAGCAAGGAGCCAGGGTCAAGAATACACTCTTACAGGCCATTCCCATAGTGACCCATTTTCAAGTAAATTCCATTTCCTAACAGCACATTCAGCTATGAACTCATCAGTGGAATAAACTTTATGGGGAATAGTCTAAATCTCAACCATAGCTGTCCTATCTAAAACGACCAAACGGCAACTCCATTTCCCATAGAAACATATCCAATGATTGCACACACACACACACACACACACATTCATACACATACACATGTACATACCTCAGTAACAGCAACAAAACTCACATGGGTTTTGCACCTTTTAAAGAATGTCTTCTCAAATTAAGCTCTCTGTGCCATCTACAACTTATATGTATTTGGCTTAATTTTTATCTCTCTTGCCCAATTTCTTCCTTTCTTCCATGAGAAACATTTGTGCCCATTAATAAAATATTTTACTCTACTTGTTTTGGGGAGTGCTACAGCTATGTTTCCCTTTAATCTATCACTGGCTGCAATCAGGGAATGTGAAAAAGCATCGAGTAATCTTGCTTTTCTTCAGAGAAGCTACAAAGTCAGCACTGTGAAAATCACATTACAGAAGTTTTATAATCCATAAATGTCTTTTTTGTAAATTTTTTCCTAAAGGTAAATTTTGAAATGCCAAGCTTGACTCTTAATGTCTAATGTCAAACTGTCAAGTAATCATTTTTATGTTTGTCAAATTTATTGTCCCTGGTTATGGCTAAAACATATTAATTTAATGTTAATCCAGTTTCCTCTAAAAGAAGGGCTTTTCCTCGTGCTGTTTTAAGTGACTAATTTTTGTAAATTTATGATAAATAGTCAACTGAGTTTATGGAGCAAGTAAGAAATGCATATAGGCAATTCTACAGTGTGTGAGAGGGAATACTTTAAAGGATACTCCAAGAATTGTTATTTCTACTCTTGATTTTCTGTTAGTTGACTTTGGGTGAGTGCAGTCTATGAGACATACAGAGGCAATTTAACAGGATGTATTGATCAACACTATAATGGCTTTTCAGTATTTGGACAAGACTTCATACCTAACAAATGTTCACACATTTATCCAAAGGTATGGTAAGCACTGAGTTTTTGCCAAGTTAACATTCAACGTGGTAATGGGTACATAGAGATGAATAAAGCATCTGCCTTCTTATCATTGATGCCTTTTTCAGGCTTCTATGTCTCTCTGTTCGGGCTCTTCCCATTCCTTTGCTTGCCCTCTCTCACCTGACCCATACATCAATTGATCTAGTGTCATACAAAGTTAATTAAATGCCATGTCTCTATGAATTCTTTTCTGACCTTCTAAATAGGTTTCAGTTCTTTTTTGTTTTTGTTGTTTTGTTTTTTAACAACCCCCAACCCCAAGCAAAAATACTATAATGTAGCTTTAGCAAATTTTTTGTGCTTCTTCTTATTTTGTCTGCCTTCTCCATTGAATAATGAATAACAATGAAAAGAGTGTCTGCATTGCTCATTATTGTAACCACAAAGCTAGTTATTTGCTTGACACATTGTGCTCAAGAAATGTACATAGGCCGAATAAATTACATTGTGATTATTTTCCAATAACCCAAAGAGCTGAACAAAATATGTACTGAATGAATAGAGGTGTTTGCAATATACAAGAGAAAAAGGGTAAAAGAACATGAGATATTGGGGATAACAAAAACAATGAAATAGTGAAAATAGCCCCCACACTAGCCATAATATAGGTATTATAAATAGTATAGTAGGAGGCGGCACTAAAACAACTCACTGTTCTTGACTCATCCTAACGGATATGTAATCACTTGGGCAGGCCCACTCTTAAACTGTTTGTGCTCCAGTGGCCTCTTCCAGTGAGCTGAAAACCAGGCAAATGTGTAGGCAACAAACACAAGAGTTAGCTCCTCCAACATGTCTTGGAGGAAAGGACAGGGATGGTGTTAAAATACTTAGGGTTTAGAGAAAGATATAGGAAACTCTCGATAAAGACCATAGTTGCCTTCTGGCACATCAATTTCCCAAATGAAAAACCATCCACATCTTCCCATGTTCTCCAGTTTTGTGGGAAAAAAAAGCAGTGCCTATTCAGGCAAAGAAGTATAAAGTCCAAAGATGATTCTTTTAAGAGAGTCCAAGGAAACATAGAAGCAAATTGCCTATAGAGGAGGAAAAGTGGATTGTGTTTCATATTTCCACTTGGATTTGAGGAAAGAGATATGTTGAATAAAGTCTTTAAGAATATAATGGGATGGGGAGGGAAGGAAGGGGTGAAGGGAGGGCAGGGACAAGGGGAAAAAATAAGAACCAAGACTTGTCATGTAGGGGTACAAGATCCCAACAATGAATGTAACTGTACCGTATCCCTCAAATGTACCAATAAACTCAATTAAAGCTGGAAAAAAAAAGAATATAATGGGAGGGGACTTGGGGATTTAGCTCAGTGGTTCCAGTGTCTGCCTCGAAAGCACAAGGTGCCAAGTTTGATCCCCAGTACTCCCCCAAAAAAAGAGAATATAACGGGTGAAGCACATTCAAGCTTGTACTCAATACTTAGTAAATAATTTCAAAGGGTCCAAAAGTGCTCTGGCATTCACCCAAATATCCAAGGTACCTATGAACCTTGGGCTGATATGTGCCTTCTAGACAGATGTCAGGAGCTAGTAATCAGAGACACATTGCCATCAGATATTACTCCACTAGCATAGCTGCTACAAGGGGGCTCTTGTAGAAGACTCTCAACCTCCAGCTTTTGACCTCCACATATAAGGATGTGTAGAATAGAAAGAAAATCACAATGCTCAAAGCTGTAGGAACTGACTTGTGCCTGGACTAATAATGGATGCTATGCATGCGTGAAGACAGTTTTATCCATACCTTAGTCTCTTAGAAAATGTCTTCTAGCTCTGCCTCAGTACAGATGAACTCTGGTGGAAATACAAAACAAAATATTTCCATAAACTTCCCCATGGAGGCTACAAAATAATATATTATGGTTATGTGTATATTAATATAAGTAAGTAGTTGGGGGAGCATGAAGTTTGCACTATTTATTGCAAGAATGAAATTTAATGGTATTTAATGTGTACTTGAGAGTTAGCACAACCAATACTTAAGGCAACAATTTCAATGCCACTATAGATACTATATAAAATTATGAATCATAAAAGCATCTACAGGTTGAAAAGAGAAGAGACTTTATGAAAAGTATATCTAGATTAAAAAGTAGTTACAGAAAAAATCCACCAGTATGTTCTTTTCCCTGCCTATCCTCCAGGGAACAACAGAGATTTTTGTCTTGATTGTACAGAAGAAAGAAATACACATAGAAATTGATACTATTTAAGGAGCTATTGTGACAAGATAATAAAAGAAGAGAATTTTCGTGAAGCTTTTCACTTTTTAATCAATAAGAACTGAGGAAATCCTTTCTAAAATGACTATCACAGGAAATATGATTTTAGTCCTGAGAATCAAAGCCTTCTCTTTTGTAAACAAAAAGAGAAATAAAAGCTGCTGTTTCTGCAGCTAATTTTCCTAAGACCTCTGCCACCGGTATTCCAATTGTCTCTGTTCCACATCCCTTTGCCAGACTAGGTCAAGGATTTGACTGTCAGAGAGTTCAGGCAAAGTGGGGCTAAAACAAGTTTTCAGAACCAAAATCTTCAGTCACAAAAACAAGCAGGCATAATCCAGGTTGGGGTGAATCTTGTATGTGACAACAGCAATAACAAAAAAATTAGAATAGAAACTGCATTCTGCTATTGCTAGAATGTAAAAAAGAAAAGCTGTCTTACATTACTTTCAATGATGTCATATTTCTTAAACCTATGTATTATGGCCTGTTTGTGTGTGAGTAGACACATATTACACTCTACTAAAGGTCTCCTGACAAAACAATTCAATCATTCTGTTAAGATACGTTTCTACCCATAGCTCTGCATAGGTCATCTTTGACATCCTTGTTTCTCAGATGGTAAACAACAGGGTTCAGAAGCGGGGTGATGATGGTGTAGGTTTCAGAAAAGAAACTTTTTTCTACTGAGGTTTCTGATTTAGGCTTCAGGTAGGTGATGAGGGTACAGCCAGAGTGGACAATGACTACAGTGAGGTGGGAGGCACAGGTGGCAAAGGCCTTCTTCCGTCCCTCAGTGCAGGCAATTTTAAGGATGGAAGAGATGATGAGGACACAGGAGTTGCAGATCAGGCCTATAGGCACAAGAATCACAAGTGAACTTACACCATAACTGATCATTTCATTGATAGTTGTACCAACAAAGAGCTTCCTGACTGGATAAATGTCACAGAAGTGACCCGCGACCTTGCCACAGAAAGGCAAAATGAACATGGCTGTCAAACGGAGAGCTGCCACAGCAGACCAGTGCCAAAGGAACCACACACTACGCTGGCGTGCATTCTTTTGCTCATGATTACTGTATCCCTCAGGGGCTTGCAGATGGTTACGTAGCAGTCATAGCCCGTTGCCGTGAGCAGGAAGCAACTGTTAGTGGCCAAGGTAACAAAAATAAAGAATGTTTGGGTTGCACAGCCTGCCAAGGAGATGGGCTGCTTATGAAAAGTGAGACCCAAAAGCATTGGTGGGGTGATGACCAGTGTGTACACAGTCTCTGAACTACCCAGAATGCTCAGGAACAGTACATGGGAGCGTGGAGGTGAAGGCGAATGAGGGTAATAGTCACAACGATGACAGTGCCAGCTAGAGTTTAAAAGTAGATGGTTAGGAAAACCACAAAGGGGGTTATTTGATGATTTCCAGACCTAGCAAACCCCAAAGAGACAAATTCTCTTACTTTGTGAAGTTCTTTCTCTGCATCCTGCTATAGTAGTCTGAAAGCAATAAAGGGAGTCATCAGAGGGAAGCTTCTCATGAGCAATTGGATTTCAAAACAAGGGGAAATGATAGCAGGACTGAGAGAATGAGCCGAATTCCTCCTTTGTGAGTAGCAAGCTTATGTTTAGGGTTCGTGCACATGCCTCTTTCATATTTACACATCTGAAAGTTATCTACATTAAAGAAAAGTATTTCCTAAAAAAGAAAAAAGATTTCTGAGAACATACTCACCTCACAGCTACCAAAGTGATGTCAGGAAGGAAAACGGAAAAAAGCAGAAAGTCGTATTCTGTTCCAACCAGTAACATAGCCGCTATTTAAATCCTCTTAACAAGAAGGAAAACCAATAACGTACATGTCAGAAAAAAACATAAATATAAGTGTGTTACAGCAGTATGAAGTATTCAAAGGACGTAGACTAAAAAATGGTGGCCGGATTTGGTGGCAAGGTCATTAAGGATCTGTTATACAATGTTCACCTGCATTTTGAGGCTAAAAGCTCGATTTCAGAGAAGTAATATGGTCCAGCCATGTCATTGTATCCTCAAAGCCAAACAACTACAAAAAGCTTCTGCCATGATCTGAAATGAATGTTTTGAATTCCACCAAAGAAATATGTTTTGCTGATGCCAGTCGTCCTTCTGAGGGAAGTCAGAAAGGGAGTTGTGATTGAGAAAGAAAGTGTTTAGTTTTAATGTTTTAGTTTCAGCATAAAAGGATTATGACAATTTCAGATAATACAGACAGGGGAATAAAAGCAGTACAGTTGAAAGGAGGAGGAAGGAGTGAGCTCACTGGGGCCCAACTGACATCTGGTGAATAATCTGATGTAATTGCGTGAGACAGTACATTGGCCCCCTTTGTTTAAAATGTCTAAACTGTGTAGAAAGCATCCTGTGGTTCTCTACAGTGACCATTTCAGTGTTCTCTCTTCATTTTTAGAACTACTGAAATACACTTCTACTTTCACCCACCAGAAGTCTTTAAGAGAGGATTCCGTCATATTTATATGCCCATTAAACCATTTGCTCAAATCTCACTGAACAACATCCCTTGCTAAAGCTATTGGACTCTGCTTGTTCCTCTTTTTATCATCTTTCTCTGCTTTGTTTGACACTTTTGATCCCTGGCTCATGGAAACATTCTCTGACTTTAGTTTCCATGACACCACATCATTTTTCTGTTCTCCCAGCATCCACATAGCTATCTGCTATGAACCTGCTCCTTCCACATATACTATGAGAGCTTTTGCTGTCTTCAAGACAATCCTTTGCCCTTGCTGTTTTCTTTCCATTTTCTCAGCAATCAGTTTCTACATTTTGGAGTCTAATCTACTATAAATAATATTTACTATAAATCTCTCACTTTCTAGATTCAAAGTAAGTCACTTATATTTAGGGTATCCAAACCTATAGCTAGGATAGAAAAACATATTCCCATTCTAAAATGTATACAGTTATGCAGAGAATCATGAACACCAAAACAATTCAGAAAAAATATATATACAAAGCTAAAGGTCTCACCCTACTTTATTTGAAGACTAGTAATCAAGATATTGTGGTCTCAGGGCAAGGAGACAATGTCACAAAATGCAGAGTCCAAAAGAACCACCACATTTTCATGGATAACTGATTATTTTTATAAAGTGGTAAGGTGCTTTCAACAAAATTCAGCTGCAACAAGTAAATTGCCACATAAGGAAAAATAAACCTTAAACTTTACTTCATGACATACACAAAAAAGTAAAAATAACTAAAAATAAATCCTAAACATGCATAAAGATAAAACCTTAAGTTGTAGACAAAAATAAAAGATAGAATCCTCAGGAATTTGAAATAAGCAATGAATTCATAGGTATCAAAAAGTATGAACCATAAAATAACACATCACACATAGGATGTTGTCAAAATTAAAAGCTTCTACTCTTCAAAAGACACTGTTTTAAAAAAAAATGAATGAGGACCAGGGATTTAGCTCAGTGGTTTCATCCCCTGCCTCATAAGTGCAAGGACCCAAGTTTGATCCCTGGTACTAAAAGAAAACAAACGGTGGGGCGGTCTCAGAGTGCAGAAAACATTCACGGTATACATGTATAAAATTGTATCCAAAATATATAACATATTCTTGAAATCTACAATGTATTCTTATATTGCCAAAATATTTGAATAGACATTTAACAAAAGAATAGCTGGAAATGCTCAAAAGTCATATGAAAGGATGCTCAAAATCATTGGCCATTACAGAAATAAAAAATAAAACTCCCATGAGATGCTGCTGCACACCCTCTCAGTAGCTGAAACTAAGAGGCCTAACACCTCATATTGGCAATGGGGTGAAGAAATTGGGCAGCTTTACATTTGCTAATGGGAGTATTAAGTGGTATAACCAATTTGGAGAACAAGGTCACAGCTTTTTAGAAAGTTAAATTTATACTTTCTCCATGACTCAGTAATTTTCCCTAAGTATTTACATAAGAGAAATGAAAACATTGTGTCCACATAAATATATTTATATATGGATGTTCCTAGCAGCTGTCCTCCTAAAAGCCAAAAACTACAAACAACCAAATGTCCAAATTATGTACTCATATAGTGAAACACTGTTCAGCAATAAAGAACAGATTACTAATACAAAAAGCAACACAGCTTAATCGTAAAAACACACTGAATCATAGAAGTCAGACACAATTTAATACAGTATGACTATATTTATATGGAACCTTGGAAAATGCAAATTAATCTATAGTACTAGAAAAAAAGAACTTGCCAGAACTGCTAGGGAATTGTCTAGAAAACAGGAAACTTATTGGGGTGAAGGAAAACTCTTGAGGGCACTCTTGGTAATAAAGTTGTATAAATTTGTCAAAATTCATCAAAATGTATACTTAAAATTGGTAAATTTGTTATATTATTTATACTTTGTTGTATTGCATTGTATTATATTATGTCACATTGTTCTGTATCAAATCATATTGTATTATATTATTTTGGATTGTAGTTTATCAAAGTTGATTTTTAATAAATTCTGAATTGGGTGCAAGTAAGTTTTGCATATCCCTACAAATCTGTCAGTACTAGACTTCATCATTCTTTGGATGGGTTCATTGTGATACAAGAAATATCAGAATTGATAGGGACTTGGAAATCCAGAACTTAAATTAGAGTCTATAAACATCAAAACACTTGGTCTGGGTCAAATCACTTGTTTCTATCTCTGTGGCCTTAAATACAATTACTTCTTGGAAGTATTTCAAGATTCACCTCATTTCCTGCTACATCCACAAAATCCTCTTATCACAATCTTGTTCCTCAGTTCCAACCCTTTTAGAAAACCTATACCCAGGCTGTGACGGAGCCTCCTTGTACCAACTCCCCACAGCAACAGTACACACATCCAGCTCCATATTCATCAATTTCATGTTGGTAGACTGAAATATGCTATGGATAAATAGTTTCACCACAGTAATAAACCAACTAAAAATCAGAATATTTTTCCTTAGATCTGGTTATGTCAAACATTTACCAGCACACCATTACCCTCATCCCTCTATTATATAGAGTAACAGTTCACACCATCTTGAGTTGTTGTTCTCTTCTTTATTTTAATCTTCTTTCCCAAATTAGATTGTAAACTCTGGAAAAAATGTGCCAAGACTTCCATGAAAAGATTGAGACCCAAATAATGAGGAATGCTCCCCATCCTGAGGCAAACTGCAGGATTTTTTAGCTTAATCCTTCTTCATGTTTTTCCACAGAGAATCAGATGGCCTTGGGAACAGAAAAAAGATGTTTAGGACTGGGGCAAAGAAATTCAACATGGTGAACTTCAAGGACTGGGTGTCAGGTAAAAGCTGACATTACTGTGGATGTAGTAAAACTTGAAAACTGCAGTGTTGAAGGACTTATGGATATCTTGTCCTTTAATATTTTGTGGCAGGGGTGTACTACAAGCAAATGAACCAAACAGCTCTATAAATCACAAAAACTAAAACTGAACCAAAGTGAAAAGAGTAGTTTCCAGGCAATATCTTTCTATTGTAACCTGTTATTTAAGGGAATACTAGTGTTTTCTAAATAGGATGTAAAACATGTTCCAAATTATTCTTCCTTAGTCCTACCTGCCAAGAACTCTAAAGTAACTGTGATACAGCAACCCTTTCCAGGTATACTGGCAGGTAAATGTGTGATCTCAGAATACTCAGATGACAAAAATACAATAGGACAACTGATAATGGTGGATTCATTTACATTGTTTACACTTCTATAAGCAGGCCTTAAAGGAGTTCAGTTTAAAAAAAAAAAGTAGTGTCTTTCTACCTGTCTCCAGATACATGTTAAAAAAGAAGGCTCTTTATGCTTCTGTTTTGTTTTGCTCAGTAATATAGCCATGCAAGTGTTTGCTTCTAAGTGAAAGCTGTGTTAGCATTTTTATTTCAAATAAAAATATTTTTATTATTTGTTATTCATACTATCTATCATACCACACTATCTTCTTTATCAGGTAGTCCAATAGAAATATAACTATTTTGTTCTAATTTTTAAAAAGATGCTGCATGTGAGAGAGAAGGATTAGTCCAACTAGCTTTGACTTAGTGACCAATGATTTTGGAGGCCAGCAGGAACAAGTTTCTGCGTTTTCAATAAGGGCCAGATCTTTATAAGTTGTTTCTTCTTACCCTTTGTCTCTGCTAGCTGGGATATATGTTTACTGTGCACATCAAGAGATTAGAGTAAGGCATAGTGGAATCACTATTGCCTGCACCCCTAGGTCCTCTCTTTTTCTTGGTATTGTGTAAATTTTAAGCCCACTAGTTCCTGAATCAAGTTGCCTGAATCAGTTCTCATCTCTAACACCTAACTGTGAAAACTTGAGAAATTTGTTTAGTCTTGCTAACCGTCATTCTCATCTGAAAATAGGGTAATAATAGTATTGATACTAGAGAAATATTCAAAGCATTTAGTACATTAATAAATGTTTGATAA